CTCCTCATAAACAACAATATCACCAGAGGAGTCGTCACAAGCAAGCTTGCTAGTCTCAGCCCGGCGACACAGCACTGTTGGAGGAATATGACAAGCAAAAACAAGCCTCAAGATATCTTCATTCGAATTGAACAAACTAGAAAGGGTACTCACCTTAGACCCATCATCATCAAGTCCCACTTTACCTTTGCGCTTCTTCTTTTAGGGTCGTAAGAAGTGATCTGAACCACCATCTAGGAGGTCTTGAGGGATTTGCCTTTGAGAAGTCACACTTGGATGAGTCAGATCGTGATCACCAAAAGCGACACCCAAAGCTTCCTTGTCACCTTCAGTGTTTAGCCCAGCACCTGGAGGGGTACCTGATGCTTTATACTTGCCCAAACGAGGCAACCTAGCACCTAGAGAGGTGTCTGACCACCTTTGCTAGCCCAAATGGGGCAGCCCAGCGCTGTCTGGCCCTCCAAAGTTACACAAAACAGCTCCAAAGGTGTCCAGATCAGCGCCTGAAGTGGCGCCCAGATCTGCCCCTGCGCCCAGGCTGTTGCCAAGCTCCCTTGCTGCACGTCTGTTGGCCTGGGCAACCCCTTTCTGGCCTACTCGCGACTGTCCAACTCTCCAGTCTGCGCCCCCAAGCTGTCCAGTCCGCCTGCCTGCACGCCCAAGCTACCCAATCCATCTGCCTGCACGCCTAAGCTGTCCAACCCACCTGTCTACGGACCCAAGCTGCCCAGCTCGCTTGTCTGCGAACCCAAGCTGCCCAAATGGTCTAACCCAGTGCCCTTAATACTCAGGCAGCCCTTTACACTCCTCCTAAAGCTGAACAACTCCTCTAAATTGTCCAAACCAGCGCCTAAAGTGGCGCCCTGTTCAGCGCCTACTACCTCCCTCCCTTCGATCTCCACCATTTCAATGGAATTTCACACATCTCCCTCTTCAATCGACATTGCCCACTTAGATACTCCACCCAAAGTTTTCAAGATTGGGTGCTCAATCTCAAGGTAGGTGAAATGGGTAGATCTTGGGCTCTCAAGATTTTCAAGAATAGGTGTTTAATCTAAAGGTGAATGAAATGGGAAAAATGAAGAAGAAGGTTATATTTATAGCCTAGGGTTTTCAAAGAGGGAAAAACCCAAATTGAAAATTATGAGCCCTCTTAAAAATCCTAACAAAAGTGGGAAAGACTTGAAGTGTGCACCAAAGCAAAAATGCATCATGCAAGTAAAGAGTCATCTAGCAAAAGAAGTCTCCGCCACTTATAACTCAAGATGCAATGCACCTATCTCCAAGTTTCTTGGACACATGGCATTGGGGGACAAATGATTGGTCAATCCCAAATAGCTCAATTTATGAGTAAAGCCCAATCCCAATTAAGAAGCCCAACCTTGTAAAAGACCCTCCAAGCCCAACACAATCCAAGACCAGTCAAACTTTTACGTCATCAAGAAGGATAGTATGGGGCCTTACCTGCACTACAGAGGAAATAGTCCACCCTCACCTCATCTTTGACCACATCTGATATAGAGCTCCTCAACCTCCTCGCTCGTTGAGAAGAAGTCATGAGCTCCACCAGAATAGTTGTTTAGTTGTTGTAAAGTAGCCCCAATCTGTTAGGGAGCCACTATAAATTGCATACACCACCAACACTTGGAGGGCATCACACTTTTACCTGAGCACGATTCTCTCCTCTCCCTCAAAGCTTGTACTCTCTGCTCCCCACACCTTTGAGTTAATAAAGTATCCGGCGACCAAGGTTATTCAAAAATGGATGTAGGTCACGATTTAACCGAACCACTATAAATCTTGTCTCCTCCATCTCTCTTTATTTTTAATTACTACATTTCTTTTCAATCACTTGACAGGTGGTGTGCAAAACCATTTTGCGCATCATCAAACAGTAACTATTTTTTTTCTAATATCTCCACCGACAAGATGAGATTCTAAATGTAATGAATAATTCCCTTAAGGACTCATGCTAGATCAATGGACTAGTGTTTTCTAAACAGTGGTCTACACTCCTCATGTCATCCTTAGTGAAATTTCATGCATATCAGTAGGACACTATCTATATATACAACCTTTTGCTATAATGCATATTTGTACTCAATAAACAGTATTTAGTATATCATACACTCAACTACTTTAGATTGTTGGAGAAAATTAGCATAATTATACATAATTTTAATTTTAAACTAATATCAATATCACATAAACAAACACAAAATAACAATGAATTTAAAATGAAATAAAATAGATAATATAAATTAGAAAGAGTTGACCTACGAGTTCGAGAGTCGTGTGAACACTGTTCTAAAGCAATTGAGTCTCCCCGCGTGAGGATACTGAAGGACACCAGTGACTCCAAGATCAAACTCAAACACTCACTGTAGTACCTCCTTAATGGTCACGTCCACTAGAAGAAATGGGTGAACATGACTCGAATCGAAGTTGCTCAAAACCATAATCGGAAGATACATCTACAATATATATGAAAAATGATACATACTACAAAAACATATATATCTATTAGATCATATGAGCTCCTTTTATATATACTTGAGAACGCTAGCCATTAGAGTCTTTTAAGGTCTACCATCTAGTAACCCCCACCACATAAAGGCATTCAAATGCCCAATTAAAATAAAATATAATTATTCAATTAAATTATATAAAAATAAAATTAAATCCTAAATTAAAAGTGATTCATTAAAACATATAAAATAAATTAAATGAGAAATTTTAAAGCTTTTATTATTTTATTTTTCAACATATAGAATACTGCGAAATAAGATACAACACTAGCTATGACATTCTGTCCACAATGCCTCTATCCATTATATTTTCTATGTGTATGACGTGTCACACCTACGCATCACTAAATTTATTCAACTAGGAAAGCAAGATTACATCAAAATAGATATGTCGGACATCACTCTGTGTAAATTAAAGGTTTTTTGGTAGACAAAAATTATTCAACAGAAGCCATTGTTGTCGCAAAATTTCTCCAATTAAAAAATATCTCATCTCCATGGTTTACAATTGTCAAAATTTGTTTGAAACCTTAGATAACAGAGTTATGAAACAGATGGCCTGTTCTAAGCATAAAGCGCCTGCACATGCACTCAGTTGCTGATCCAACACAATCTGGAACCACTGTCATTAGGGGTGCTGTGAATACTGAGCGTCACAGTCATTGGCGCAAAGTTTGTCTAAGGGTATGTGGTTGTGTGTGAGTGACTGGTTCTGGGTACAGAGTTGAAGAGCTTTCTAACGCTGTAGCAATATAAAAGCTTAAAGAAATGCAATGACAAAGAGAATACAGTGGTTCAACAGGCTGAAAAGCTTGGTCAATTCACTCTAACGGAGACTCTTACTATATTACTCGGATAAAAAGATTGTTATAATGAGATTTTCATATATCTTTCTTGAGGGTGTATCCTCCTATTTATAAGAGGTTAACTTTTTGTTCTTATCTTAGATTGTGTGGTCCCCTCAATCGATAAAAATTATTAAGAAAATATCTTTCCATTAGAATATCTCTGACTATGACGATACTCCGCGTCCTTCTAAAAACAGGGTATTGTCATCTGGGAGGGCTGAACTCTTGAGGTCATTAGATGAGCTGGTTGAGCAGTGTTTGGTGGTCTGTAAAATTTTTCCTCCAGAGAAGCTTGTTGAAGGTAAGAAATCAGCTCGGGAGGTCTTGCATTGCATGACGCTAAGCTTTGTTTCTGCCATTAAGGAAATCATGCTGCTTATTGGCCATCTCAGCCCCAGTTTTTGAGGTCGGCATGTTCAATGTCGAGCTAATTAATTTCTGCACTTGATATGAAATAAAATATTATTCTGAAATATTGGTTGCTGATAAGGGCAATGGGCATTCATTCTTGAGAATTTGTGGAGAACGATAGACAAACACATATGATCCAAGTCCCCTAGTGGTATTGCTTAATCATAATTGCATTAAATGAAAAAAGTAATTACAAATGTGCTTACTAATTAAATCAATGAGATAATATGGATAACATATAAGTAATTATGGATTTATAACCTATAATACAAATAAATATAAACAAACAAGCTATTGATAGATTCACACCATATGCAATGCTTGATGTAACAACTGAATATTAACACTATCATTTAAAAGAATTAATTCGTGCTAGCGGCAATGTTGAGACAAACAAAATTTATTTAATTTTATTAATATCAAACATATATGAAATCATTATAATACTAAATTATTATCTCATTGTTCATTTTTTAGTTTAGATAATTGCAATTTTAGATTCTCCTACTAAAATTGAAGACAAAATTTAAGGGTAGGGAGTTAGGGTAATTTGGGAGTGAGCTACGTTCTAAACAATTCTTCCAAAAGAAATTCTTGGTAGATCATATATCACAAATTGAAGTAGACATCATTACATATAAGTGAGTTTCTCATTAATACATAGTTACTAATCTACTGAGGGAAGTGTAAGAACAAATATTAGAGGGGATCTAAGTCGAGTAATTTATATGGAAAACTTCAAATATGACTTCACTGAGTCTCACTCCAAAAGTCTTGGTTAACTCAACACATGTAATTTGTAGGTGTTTAGAGTTTACATTCCCAACTATGAATAAACTTGTATAATTGGAACGACTCTCAATATTGTAGAAAAAAAAATTACTAAAAAAAAATTTACTGAAAAAAATCTACAAATGTTAGGCAACACAACAACCTATAGGGAAATGGTCAAGCGAACAAGCTCTACAATTTACAAGGACTAGAAATCCGATTGAAGAAAATATAAACATGATAATCAACTCTATTCACATAATATGTACTAATTTAAAGGAGAGTACGGTTTATGGTGAACTTTTTCTTTTTTTTCTTGGATAGTTGGAAAGCTCCTCCAAATTAGTTTTCGGACCAAAGTAAATTATGCATAACATCGGACGATTCGCCATGAGTACTGATATGGAGCTGAGCCCGATCTATCCAATCTTCCACATCAAAATCACATGGCTTTAACATGTTCTCTCTCACCCACAGCAGAATCTGAGGAATAGGCACCACTGGTGTTTGCACAGCTTGGCAAACTGTAATCCACCACATTGTGGTGCATGGAGCTTTGGTTGTTCTTGGGCTTCATTCTCGTTTGATATATCTTGCACAACACCAAATTTTCCAACTGTAGGAAAAAACAATGCTATGAGCTACTGTTGACCTATTGGTTAATCACTTATAAATCCATAACATGCATGTAATGGATCATGAAAAAAGAAAACAAATCATGGAAAATCAATAATTACCACTTTAGAGCTATAGATTTTTGAATCAGTTATACATTGAAAATATAAGTTATTCAAATTTTGAAAAAACCTAAAGAAATCATTTTTTTTTCTGGAGTAAAAGAAAATTTTATTATGCTACACTTTGAATATACCACATTATTAGCCAAGTTCACAAATTATGATCACCAATCCAGATTTAGACATAAGTAAAATTACTGCATAGTGCATACCTTTATGTCACCTGGAGCCCTACTTGGGGTATTCTGCAGCTTAACAGTGTACTCTTGCATTAGCCAGTTAGTCTTTCTTTGAGATCCATCTCTAGCATTCTTTTCACAAAAAACCAGCGACTTCTTGTACCCAACTACCCGACCCTTGCTACAAATTGGTTTGTCACCTCCTGAAGCCTTCCACCATCCATCACCAGTGTTTCGGTTTGGTCTGGTGCCATTAGCGTACCTCTTTTCCCTTGGGGTAAAGAAATACAACTCATTTTCTCCATATAATTTGTATCTCTCTGTCGTTCCAAGAATAACCACTGTTATTCATTCAAATATTAAAGATGAAGCATAAAAAAAAATAAAAAAAAGAACACTAAATCTAGATCAAAAGAGAAAAAGATTAAACTCATATACATAAAGAAAGAAGTGAATAAGTGTCACTTTGGCCATTCGGTTTATCAGGCCTACCAATAAATTAAATCAATTAATTAGATCTAAATAATATTATTGGTACGTAAATATGTACAATATAGACAGGTACAAATACTCAATGAACTCCTATATGGGATTTAAAACATTCACATGTGGATGCATGAATACAATTGCTATATAAATAAACACCTGCACGAGATATATTGAAAAAGAACTAACGAAAAAGTTGCTGGGGATTGAACTTGTAGAGATCGACATCTCTGATCCTGTTGGGAGCTAAGCATCGCTTCGAGATTTTGTTCCACAAGTAATGATCAATCAACTCCTGATCAGTGGGTTTAAACCGGAAACCAGGTGGTAACAAATCGAAGTAGTCGTCCGTGTACATTGACCCGCCCACGTTGTTCAAAACAGTTGCTTGTGACGCCATTGTGATTCGATTTTGTGTCCCCATTGTTGAACCCTAAAACAGAAAACTTGAACTGATTGAAAAGAAACAAAAAAACTGAGTGGATTTTGGGTTCAAGCGATTACCATTGCAAGGAGAGAAAAAACAGTATTTTGATTTTTGTTGACAGTCCCCATTGCGTGCGTTTGAATCACTTTCTCCATTATTGAAAGCTTGCGGTGAGATATTGAAAACGAGAGAAAGAAAAGACGGCGGTGAGAGGTTGAAAGTAATGGCACGAATACGAAATGTATACCCTAAAGAGACCAGTTTTTGTTGATCCTCAATTCTGATTGGCAGAGATATAACGCGGTTCCATCTATCCAACTTCTTTCATGAGCTTCCTCGATGTTTCTCTTCTTACATATCAGTAGGAGATTGGAGATGTTTGAGCTATGCGGCGGCGGGAAACACTTTTACTCCACTCAACCAATCCATCAAAGAGACCTATTATAGGACGAATCTAATTTGCCCTATATTTCATTTGGTCTTACAATGAGTATTTCTTATCAAGTTTTTTATTTTGAGTGATATGATATAATTTTTACTATTAAATAAGTGGGTTTTATTAGTATTCAATAATAGAAATTATGTCACATCATTTGAAGTGAAAAAAAAAAATTATTGGGGAGGGGGAGGGAAGGGGAGAGGAGGGGAGGGGGAGAAGAGGATTTGAACTTTGACCTCAAGAAGACGAAGTCTTCATAAGGCAAAGAGTACCATTTGACTAAAGGCCCATTGATATGAAGTAAAAAACTTGATAAACATAACATTCCCGTTAACTCATTGCATTCCTTCAAACAAATAATCTACTTTTATCCTATATTAAATTGATGATATGTTAGGCTCATTTTATAATTATTTAAGCTATGAAAAATGGTGAAAATTTGGTTACATAATTAAAAAATGATCAATAATAAATCACTTATAACTTAATTGTAGTATTGATAATGAAATTACCATTTTCAAAGTAACGCTTTCAAATTAAGAAAGCTTGTTGGAGTTAATGGTGTGCAATTACATTTCTATTTTTTTTCAAGGGTTCTAATTAGTCCTTAAGTATACGATACGAAAGGCTGTATTGTGTCTCCATTAATTTTGACTATCAATTTTAAATTAAATGTAATCTACAATTATTCACCGTCACAAAAAAAAGAGTTTTGTAGAAAAAACAAAAAAAAAAGAGTTTTGTAGAAAAAACAAATTATGACAGTAGTGTTGTCACAAAATATTTATTTGTTGTTTTAAATATTATTTGAGATGGGTCATTATTGCCATAAAAAATTTTGAGATCCCACTTATAGGGTTGAGATTGTGATAGCATTGACCGCTAAAGTAAGTGAAGTCTCAAAAAAATCTGTAAATATGTTATTGTCCTAAAATCAGGGAACTACTTTGAAATACGTTGTTGTCCAAAATACTGAGCTACTTTAATTTCATCATTATAGTCCACTGGGTGGTGTATTGTCCTCAGGATGAATACCTGGGCCACAGTTAATTTGGGTGGGTCCCTTCGACCCAAAAAGAAGCGAGCCCAACCTGACAAAAAATATTTAAAATAAATAATTGACCTTGGATTTATCTTGGTGTCTCTGGTGCA